CCTTGGCTGACAGCAGCCAACCTACAGAAGGCCAAAACTAATGGTGCACATCCCAGCCCTGTAATTTAGATGCAACAGGGAGAAACATACTGCTCCTAGCCAAGGTAGAAGACAAGATGAAAGTTTACCTTCACCTTTGTTTCAGAGCAGTCTGCAGAGTTTAGAACTCAATTCCTCCTCTTCAATAACAGCCCCTTTACCCTAAAAATCAGTCCCTCTTTCCCCCCACCTGGGCATCTTGCTTGTGGTCACTCACTATCCATTTAGCACCCAATGGGGACACCCACCTCCTGAGCTGCACCATGAGATAGCCACATGAGCTCCTACCCTGAGAGAGGCCACATTACAGTACTTGCTCAATATTTGGAGACCCCTACTCAGCCTCTTCACACTGGAGTAAACTGAGGCCAAGACTGCAGCTTCACCTCCATACTGCCTTGATCCTGCAGCTGCCTGCAAGGATCCAGTTGCTGAAGGCAGAGCAAGCCCAAAGAGAAAGCTCAACACCGTGCATTCACTAGCAGAGAGACAGCAAAGGTCAGGGGAGGATCTCAGCAGGGTCGGAGCCTGTTCCAGCCCCAGCCCCTGCATTCTCACAGCCTTACTCATACTGACTTGTCTGGGTGGCTCTATACACCTGTGATGAGATATATAAACCCACTGAGGTCAGCAGAGGATTTTAAAAGTATGTGGATTCGGTAAATTCACACAGGGACTGCAATTCAGGGAGAAAGCAAGCTGAAGGGTAAGGCTGTGCAGAGGAGCGGGCAGCGGTTTGACCTCAGCCACGTACAGCATATCCTACATAATGCTGCCCTGCTCCCTCACACCCATGTGTGCCACAGGCACAGCTTCACCTCCCCCCTGGAAAATGAGGCTCCTCAAGCAAGCCCACAGGATGAGATCCTGACATCTTTCTGTATGCTGAATAGCGTAAGTAGCTAATCTGCGTGGGGCTGCTTAAAAAGTGCCCAAGTAGGGAAAAGAAAGAGCATCAAAATCAAGCTCCTGCTTTTAGAAACACACTAAAAATACATTCTGCTAGAGGAGATGGCACAACAGCTAAACCACCTGCTAGGAAAATAATACTCAATTGCTAAAGTGCCTAAGTACAAATGTACATGATTTAGAGACTAATTTGGGTGAAGATAGTTGGGATGGTCCAACTTTCAGGAAGAGTCATTAACACTTCAGAGATGGCAGGTGCTTGCTTTGCTACCTGACTTCTTTTTGACTCTCCTACTAACTTCACCCTCTGGTAACTTTACACGGATGACAGAGAATAAATCAAGGATCTATTTCTCTCTGCTCTTTCTTGCAACTTCTTTAGGGCGCAACGGTTTCACCCTTACACAAAGATATGAAACAGCAGCCTGAAACCTGGCACTGTGGACTCACACAGTTAAGGGCAACCTACCTGCAGGCAGCGCTCAGGGTCACACAGCTGAACACTTCTGTAGCAGTTCCTTGTCCAGAGGATCCGGGAGCAAAACCTTTCCTCTTGTTCACCCGGGCCTTCAACACCCACAGCCCCTTTCCCTGCAATCTATCCCTCTCCGTTTTGTAGCAGCTTACTCTTTAAAGTACTTAAAGAGGAGCACTAAAGCTGTTCTTATACCCTGCCCCCAGAGGGTACAGCAAGATCCAGCTACTCCCTAAAGACCAGGAAACCCCAAGAAACTCACCTGCAGGGCTGAGCTTGTTAAATGGTGCCCCTGGGCCCAGGTGGAGCTGGTCAGGGCCCTTCAGGCCCATTAGGGCCCAGCACCTGCTGCTCCACACACAGCAAAGCCTCTGCTCTCTGGTGCTGGTAAAGGTCTCTAGGTGCCAAGTTCTCAGCAGCTCCTTCTGACACCCCAGCTTGCCCTAGAGTCTGTAGCTCTCAACACAACAAAGCCTGAGCTGTGACCTGGTTTTCACTGCTGTTGATGCAAAGGGTTCCCAGATTTACAGCAGCAGGACACGTTACTGGGTGTGTAGTATGTGCTCCTACTGCTCTGAATTCACAAAGCGAGTGTAAGTTAAGGACTGGATTCTTGTGTCATGTCTTTGGTAGATGACAGGTGATCCCAGAAGGCTGGTGCTCCTGCCTTTGAATTTGATAAATTCAGTGTACAGTGCCTTGTTTGTGTCCTGCTTGTTCAATACACTGAATACAGTCCTGCCAAACAAGATCAGAGCTTAAGTTCGATGTGAAGTTACTTAAAATATTATCTACGTATTGCAAAAGCTCTGAAAATGAACAATATTACATATTTTGCTCACTGAAAAAGACTCCAGGATTGACTGTGCAAGCTACTACAAGCTTCAATCTGCACCAATTAAAGTGAAGAAAGATATCCTCTAACTTGAGCGCCATGGATCATAGCCCTTCGCCTCCATCTTTTCACATATCTTTACAAGAACAAGAAGTTAAAGATATGCTTCCTGCTTCTAGACTTACATCTTGCACAGACTGGAATTCAATTAACATTTTTCTGCAACAAAACTTGGAGGAGCACTTCAGAGCTGCTGCTCACAATGCAGAAGCGACTGAACAAATGATACTCTCATTAACGCTGTGCCTTTCCCTGCTGTGCAAGCCAAATCCTTGAACACTAAAAGCACCTCAGCATCAGCTGGGTTCACAGACATCCAGAGCAATTTTTCAAGCTCCCTGACTTTTATAGACCAGGGGGGAAGGGATTTGGTGTGCTTTAATCCATTCTATTATATGAACTCAGAAATGGTTTTCACTCTCTAGCGCTATAAATTAAGCTGTCTGCAGTTATTCTATCCCTGATTACGCTGAAAGTTACTGGCAATAATTTGACGACTATATTTTCTTCCTTCCCCCCCCCCCCTTTTTTTTTTCCCCCTTCTTTTCTAAATTAACCTGTGAATTTAGGTTTTCTGGTAGTAAGTAAATAATGCAATAAAACTGGATATAGTAGCCAACACATTCACATCTGGATGTCTGAAATTGTGGATGAACACGGTAAAAGCTCCTGTACTTTGTAGGTGGAATTTACTGTGTTCACTTCCCAGCCCTTCAGACTAGAAAAATGTGTTGTATGAGAAAATCACAATTTTTTTGCACTCCTCTATATTTGGTTTGGTTTTTTTTTTGTTTTTTTTTTTTTTTTTTCATCTAGAAGACTAATCACTTTTTAGACATAAGTGAATTCAACTTTGCAAGTCATGAGGAGACAAATACTATCTCACCCATTTTAGAGACTGGAAAACTCAGGTCAAGAATCATTTAGGGATGGAGATTCTCAACCTAAAAATAATCCAATCTGTGCAATGCAAGCTACTATTAAGTATATCTAAAGATAGAAAATAACCTCTATTATTAGTGTATTCATAAAAATATATGCTATTAGGGAACAGATTCCATCTGCTTGGCTCCCCTTCCTTTGCTCTGACCACTGTAACACCTTGTCTCCTAAACTCTTATAACAGAGAAAGTTGTACACAGATTTGGATTACCTCTGGACAAATTAGGGGGTACACTGTACAGTTCAGAGTGTAATAAATAAGTTGCTTCTCTACAGTGTGATGGTATTCTGGGAGTCGAACTGTGCTTCTCTCATTCATGTGAATTAATAAATGTGACTCTGATGATTTATTTCAGTACAAATTACTTCCCAGTATCAGTAAGCATAGCAGAGTCCAGCTCCAGGCTGGATACTCAGGACCTTAACAAATACTGGCTTTTAAAAGCTTCAATAAAACCTACTTGGGATCCCATCAAACTGAAGTGCCCATGTCAGTCATTCTCAATTATTCTAACTTTAAGGACATGTCAGGTACACAAAAGACACAATTCAGACAGCATGACTGCCCTAAAATGATAACTTTAGCATAATGCACTTGACAGTGAAAAAGCAATAATGGCTATTTTGAGAACAAAAGAAAAATACAATGGATCTGATGACTAAGTGTTCTGGTCCCCAATGTAAAAGCAAAGTAGATCCCTGTCGTATTTAACTTGATTCCTTTGAATTAAACACTTCCATTAAAAGTTTCCCACAGTAGCTTTAATATTTAATTATGTATTCCTCCAAAGGAAAGAACAAAATCTTTGCAAAGGGTTTTTTTGTGCATGTGAAATATTTATCAGTATATCTCTTTGGACAAGTATTTTTATCCCCCCAGGCTGGGAAAAGGCTCCCATGTACAAATCAGTTTCAAAACATTCTATTTTACAGCTTGAAAGTTTTCTATACTTCAGCACCTCATGCCGTGACTTTGTTATTTCACTTGTTAATGAATGGTAATTAAATCTCTTTTGGCTGAAAAGGTTGGAGGGCTCCTGCTGTATTACAAAAACAATTTCTGAAAGTTTCAAAAATGCCCAAGTGTCTAAAAATTAAAGAGTAAATCTTGCCACGTTTTGAGTCCAAGTTTGAATCGCTTGGAAGGGTTTGTGGGAGAACAGCATGTCTCAGTCAGGGTGTACAATCTCCCCAGTTGAACAGACATAATTATGTCACTTGTGTCTACCAGAGTAAACAGAATCGCATTCTTAATAGTATACATTGTGGCCACAAACTTCCTTGATCTTACTAACAACTGTAGCAAACACTGCATAAACCCTATTATATACTACCTGCACAAAGAACTGCTACATGTGTACATCTAAGTAAAGACTTGTTAATTTTGCATTTGCTCAGTAGGGCTTGAAACATCAGCCTATTAATTTTTCTTCTTTTCTGTTTTCTCATTTCTTTCAGGTGCTTTGAGTCAGAAGATAAATGAAGTGCTTACAACAGAGGTAGATTAAGGGGAAATAACCACATATTAAGGCATTTTGTGGTGTTACAGTGCTAAATAGAGACACAGTATTGCAGAATAAATATCTGCATCATCTCCGCTATTCAGTTACACCAGTGCAGGCTTGTGCTGGCACCACATGGGCAGATTTGGTCCACAGTTTGTAAACCAAAACTACATTAATTCTACTGTGAAATGCATTTTCCTGAGGGCAATACAGTGATTTACATACAGAGGCAAAGTTGATTCCAAATTTCTTTTTAAATTATAGCTTCTCAAACAGTCCAGCACAAACAGAGTTTAGCAAGAAACTGGGAATGGGAATGTGATGAGATGAGTCCATTCCTAAACTGTAACTTTGGGAAGGGGTCTGCTGAGAGCAAAGCCCCCTCCGGTGAAGCGAGGAACATCAGATTTATGGCGTGGAAACCCAGGCTCCATGTCAGTCAAGAACTGCTCCTTCTCCCTTTAAATAGAAACAAAGAAAAGGAATATACATATTTCAACCAGCAGCCCAGTGATGTTTACAGACTAAGGAAATCTGTGTACTCTAAAGTTTCTTTGATGTGACCATGTATCAAGAGTTCATTAAAAAATTGTTGATTAAAGCCTGTTAGGCTAAACCGGCAAGGCTAGGTGTCTGTTTGGATCTAATTACAAGCCTACTGATGTTTTCTGGAATTATTAAAAATTAGAAATAAATGAGCTTTCTTCATGCTACTCCCCAAAATGGTCACAGCACCTCATTAGAGCAAGTTTGTACCTGAGCTCCGTGACTTCAGACTTCTAATCATCACCCCATTCTAGCAAGTCTATGCCTGTTTTCAAACAGCTACATTCATCAAAGGGAGATATTTTTTCTTTGTCGAATTTTAATGAATAAATGGTGTTATCTGTCTTCACATTTTAACAGTTCTAGTGATAATTACTCTGACTGTGACATCTGCAGAAAACTGAGTGTGCTGTGGGTGCACTGACAGCCCCTGGAAGTTGCTCCATCTGAAGATCCAGGAGAGTTTGAATTTGATGGCCTTAAGAAGAGGGAACAAGGGTTAGCTGGTTCCACTCTTATGAGGTTGGGGAGATAAGCACAGCAGAACAAATACAAAGGGCAGTATTTCAAACTCACTGTGATATACCTGGAGGTTTCAGACAAAGATCCTGAGATATTTAAAATTAACCAAGTGGAGCTTTATGAAGTACTAGTTTATCATAACAGCAAAGGTCTCAAGGCTTTACAAAGAAGGTCAGTGCCATTGCTTTTATTTTACAGTCATTGAGACTGAGACACAAACGAGTGCAACCACACTTTTGGAAAATCTAGCCTTGTTACATTAGTATCCTTTCTCAGTCCCCAGTAAGGGAAAAGAAAACACTTCCTAGAATTAATACTTTTCTCTTTGTCCCTAAATAACTGTGTCGGAAGAGGAGGAAGTTCAGAGAAGCCCTGTAGGATGACTAGTTATGCTTCCTTTTCCAAATTTAATGCATGTGGAGGTGGGAGAATAGGCAAAAGATGGCACAGATGAACTTAAGCATGAAAACCATTTATAACTCTTTTTAATTGTATCAATGTAGCACTAATGGATGTGTCAGCTGACAGCACTAAAAACTAACATGCTATATTTAGATGGCTCATCCTATCTCACTATTGGTCTTCCAACTTTGGGGAGAAAAAATGATCCAGAGTCCATGCTCATTCTTTCTTCGTGCTCCCATGGAGACAGCCAACAGATGTGCTCATCAGTATGGAAAATTCTATGCAGCCAAATACCGTAATATATTATGCAGAATTAATGTGCAACCAGCCACGTGCAAAAGCTCCCAGTTACTACTGACATCCCTCAGTGCAGTTATTTACATATATAGGACTGCAGGATCAGGTCTCTGGTGTGGATTTAAGCTTCATATTTTCTCACCAATCCTTATCAAGATCAAACTGGAACCCCAGTGCTAGAAACAACTAGGAAAAGTAGTGAAGCAGAAAGCATGCAAGAAGCAGAAGAAGAGAATGGGAAGAGTGAGAAAAATAAAGCCTAGGACATCTGGGAAATACAACATTCAGAATCACAGAGCAGAAAAAGCGGATTTCAAATTCACAACCAAAATCTTAAACATTGGATTTTCAGCTTGAACACAAAACAAAGCTAAATTCTTGTTACCACTCATTATATTCCTTCAGCATCCCATGGAAAGGTGCATTAGTTCACTATCAAGACTTTAAATCACAAACCAGAACTGTCTTGTGCAAATCAATAAAAGCTTTAGATTATACCTTTGTGTGAGGTTATCTGAGAGTATTAATTCTCTTTCATACCAGCGTAGTCAATAATGCTATTAATGCTATTGTCCTGACAGGATCCTATTTTTATTAGCAAAACCAGCCACATCTATTTCAGACATGCTGTTAACATTAGCCAGCATCATAGTGATCAAGTCAGTGGTTTTGTGTCAGCTGGGAATTAGAGCAACACAAGATTGTATGAATCAAACAGCCCTGGCCCTTTGGCTAGCATCTACTCAGCAGGCAGTGCCTGTCCAGCCCAGTCTAAGGCAGGAACATTGTGGAATGGCTGTATGTCAGGGGTGAAGGACATCTTGGTGAAGGATCTGGCTGCACAACAGGCTTTCTCTATTGCAGAAAGCAAAAGACATGTAATGGACAATTGGCAGTTCGGAGAAGGAAAGCTGCACAACAATGTTGTTTCCTTTGCACTGCTGCTGGGCAACACAAAGTGCAGTCTAGAGATTACAGAAACTGCAGTTATCCAGGATTGATATGCCCTGCTATGCCTTGGGGTGTGTACATCCTTCAAAGCAGGATGTAGGACAAGAGGTTTGACTGGGGAGCAAAACAATGAGGGAGAGAAGAGAACAAAGCCCAGCACCTGGCCACCTCGTCTGCCACAAAGACAAGAGAAGTGCAAGTCAGGGATGACAGCACAGCACTAGTGGCTTCTGAGCCTGAGGGTGGAGCAATGCGATGCTATCATCCTGTAGAAGCACCACTAACAGCATCTGAATATACTTCCAAAGCATGTATGTCATGAAGACACCATGCTCATAGGACTACAGCCACGCCTGCCTACAAGAACAACCTGACAAGCTGCACTAATGGTAGATATCCATCCTGAACCTATAAACAGTGTAATGAGTCTGGCACTAATTGACCTGCAACACAAAATTCCATTCACTGTGTATGAATACCAGACCCAAGTTCAGTCACCATCATCTCGCGTAGTATTTTTGTTTTACTTTAAAGCATGTATGCCCCTAACAATTTGGGTTTTTTCAATAGTCATGACAGGAATTAATTCTAGGTATACTGTAACAACAAAACATGGGTGAATCTATTCTCATCTGATGAACAGAAAGAAACATGATGCCAGGGTCCAAAATGGAAACATTAAAAAACTATTGTGAAGAGGATATTTAGCTGCTGGAAACAGATTATCAGGCATTATGGTAGCCTCACATATTGATCCTAAAGCTCCGGGAAAGCCATTAGCACTGCACAATTGTTTCTAATTCCAAACATTAAGGTAACATTATGCAATTTGCAGGTAGACAAAAGTCACTGTTTATCACTGATAATTTTGCTAGTTTAGTCATCAAACCTGTTTGATGGCTGAAATATGATTAAGGAAGAAATAGATACAGGCAGTTTTGAATTATATTCAGCAATGTAGAGAATTGTTGGCTTTAGTGAGTGAGGAAAGGACAGGCTGAGGATGAAAAGGGGTGGAAAGACATGGAATAGATGCTCCTAGAAGCTGTGCTAAGGCACATGGAGGACAGGGAGGTGATTCAAGACAGCCAGCATGGCTTCACCAGAGGCAAGTCCTGCCTGACCAACCTAGTGGTCTTTTATGATGGAGTGACTACATGGACATCTATCTGTACTTCTGTAAGGCATTTGACACAGTCCCCCACCATATCCTTCTCTTCTAAATGGGAGGGATAGGGATTTGATGAGTGGACTGTTTGGTGGATGAGGAATTGGTTAGATGGAGTGGTCAACGGCTCAATGTCCAGATGGAGAACATTGATCAGTGGTGTCCCTCAGGGGTCCATATTAGGACCAGTACTGTTTAATATTTTCATCAATGACATAGACTGTTGGATCAAGTGTGTCCTCAGCAAGTTTGCAAATGACACCAATCTGAGTGGTGTGGTTGACACACCAAAGGGACAGGATACCAGTCATGCCAGCCGGACAAGCTCGAGAAGTTGGCCCATGTGAACTTCATGAGATTCAACAAGGCCAACTGCAAGGTCCTGCACGTGGGTCAGGGCACTCCCAAGCACAAATACAGGCTGGGCAATGAAGGGATTGAGAATAGCCCTGCAGAGAAGGCCTTGGGGGTACTGATGGATGAAAAGCTGGACATGAGCTGGCAATGTGAGCTCACAGCCCAGAAAGCAAATCTCATTCTGGGGTGCATCAAAAGAAGGGTAGCCAGCAGGTCAAGGGAAGTGATTCTGCCCCCCTACTCTGCTCTGGTGAGACCCCACCTGGAGTGCTGCATCTGGCTCTGGAGTCCTCAGCACAAGAAAGACATGGACCCATTGGAGCAGGTCCAGAGGTGGCCACAAAAATTATCAGAGGGATGGAACACCTCTCCTACGAAGAAAGGCTGAGAGAGATGGGGTTGTTCAGCCTGGAGAAGAGAAGACTCTGGGGAGGCCTTATTGTGACCTTTCAGTACCTAAAGGGGGCTTATGGGAAAGACGGGGACAAACTTTTTAGCAGGGCCTGTTGTGATAGGACAAGGGGTAATGGTACTGAACTCAAGGAGGGCAGATTTAGGCTAGATATAAGGAAGAAATTTTTTACAATGAAGGTGGTGAAACACTGGAACAGGTTGCCCAGAGTGGTGGTAGATGCCCCATCCCTGGAAACGTTTAAGGTCAGGTTGGATGGGGCTCTGAACAACATGATCTAGTTGAAGATGTCCCTGCTCATTGCAGGGAGGTTGAACTAGATGACCTTTAAAGGTCCCTTCCAACCCAAAGTATTCTATGATTTGACATGAGAGACCAGACATTAATCTGTGCCCTCTGGGCACCATCTCATTGGTATGAATGATTTAACTGGACTACAGAACATGTCAGCAACTGCTGGATGTTCTTGTCCTGGCCATAGACGATGGTAAATCTAGACCAGATTGAAGCAATATGAAGGATAACATTCAGGAAAATTAGGCAAAAATATTATATCACCTCAGTCAAATTTGGCCACATTCTGATTAAAAGGGTAAAGAAGGGTCTAAAATAAATCTAGTTTATGCAGAAACCTGAGTAGACAGAAAGAAACTGTTCTTTTCCCATACTTGGCCTGTTGTTCCTTGCGTTTCTGAGCCAGATATTTCTTTTTCACATTCAGAAGCTCATTGGCAAGTCTTTCAATTTCATATTTGTATTCTTGGCTCTGTGATTCATACATATTCAATTCTGAAGACAAAACCTAACAAACAAAAGGCAAAAAGCACAAACAGGAGATGTTAGTTTCACTTACACATAAGTCAGTACTTTTACAAGCACTTTTTCCTTTCACATTTGATGATATAAGACTTCACCATTTTCCACCACATCTCATTTTTTATCATGATGTTTCATTTGATCACCTCCACTCACCTAAGGACCATTTACAACATTAAGGCTATGCTATTTAACCACAATAAAGCATGTAAAATATGCTCCAAGCATTATGGGAATGGTATTAATACATACATTATCTCTTACTGTTCTGGGACACAAATCTAGGTGAAAACCCAAAATTAAGGTCTTAAAAAATAATAAAGCAGGGATTTATTTAATAATAATGGGTTTAATTCACAGGGATCCACTTTGTTACATGAAGTAATTCAATCCACACAGGCAAAGTAGTACCAGACGGTGTAAATATGAACACAGTGCCACTTTCATGTGAATCAGTAAACTTTAAAGAAAGTAGGAGTATGCATAGTGTGTTTTCCTTCGTTAAGAAGGAGAATAGCTTGACCTGGCACCACAAAATGGCATGCACACCAGTACGCTACAGCATACTGTGCCTGAAATACACAGTAGCAATTGACTGCATTAAGGACAAATGGGAACCGTATGGAAAACTTCAAATCACATTCAGTTTAGCTAAACTTTGGCTTCTATTTTACATTTTCTATATTGTTTTCCTTCTCCATTGAAAGCTAAGATTTGCATAACAGCCTCTTTGTTTCCTAAGGGCCCATCTGCTCCTGCATTTTTTTCCTCATGGTTAGTATAGACGTGATTATGATGCAGTGAACAGGAGATGACGACTTCAACAAAGAGAGGAGCTGTAGAAGTAGATGAACTCCTGCGGAGACTGAGCTTTCATGCAGGCAAGAATAACGGAAGATCAGCTTATTCTATCAAAGAATCACTTTTTAATATCATGCTTTCCAAGTTTCCCACAAGATGCCTTCAGAACCAGGAAATCTTCCCTTCCAGTGACAAGGGGTTAGGACAGGTTACTCCTGTCATCCCCATAAAAGTTGCAAGTCTAATATAAATGTACACATTGCAAGAGAAATAACAAGAATCTAAGACTGAATTATCAATATATTCCCACTACTTTGTTAAAAAGAGAATGAAATGGCATCTCTTACTTTCAGTTGTTTAGTCTTCTCTCGGAGAGTGTGCCGGTAGAGCTGCAACTGTTCTGCAGCTTCAGGACCAGGCTGCCGGGCCAAGATGTGCTTCAATTCCACATACAGTTTCTCCTTTTCCTAAGAAAAAGACAAGAGGAAGAGATTTTATAAAACTACTATAGCAGCAGCAAAACCTGTGATGAAATCAGCCTCACTGAAAAATGCAACTCAATCAGGAAGATATTTGCAGAAACAAATCTGCCTGTGTGTCAGTCTTTCCTCACTAGCCATAAGGTATTTAAACTTGTTGTGATAGCAGTGGGAGAGCTCATTAAGAGAAACATCTAGCTGCTTCGAACCACAAATGAAATACTCTTAAACACTGCCATCAGTGAGCACACTCTACCACAGAGAATATAAAACAGACACTGGAAGAGTATCCAGGGGTAGGAAATTAATTACTAGTAACTGTGCTTATTGCAATCTTTCTTCTTATAAGCCACTATGTCTTACATTAAGGATCATAACTTCACCCAACAGGATGTGAGCAGGCTATGGAAATGTCAGGGAAGGACTGTACAAAAGAATAACTTCTTCCAAAGAAAATATTGCAAAGCACATGTACACACACACACGCGCGCACACGCACACACACATATGTATATAAACATTTTCAGTTTAACTGCAGGGGCCCTGGGAAAGGGAAAATATAAACAGCAACAACTATGACTAGCACAATTACCACCAAGTAATTTTTCTTTGTCATGAGTCTCCTCTTCCTTCATGTTGGAACAGTGTACTTATAGGAATTGGATATAGCGATGCCCAAACAGAAACCACACCATGAACCCACCTGCAATTTTCTGTACTGAAATGCTGCTTTCAGCTGTGTTTTGAGGATGTACTTGTCTTTAGTCAGAGGAACAAAGCTCTGAACAAAGCCACCTTCATAGCTTTGCACATTACAATATTTTTAGTATTATCTACCATGTCAGACTAAGATTATTATTATTTAATATTATTTAGCAAGATCCCATCTTTGTCTAGTACCTGGAGAGATGGAATTAAAAAGGAGGGTTATTTGACTGGAAGTTGGACTAGCAGACAAAAGATTTAACTGAAGAAGACAAAAATGCCAAGTAGGAGGTAGGGTAGGTGATTATTTACACTGGCTTTGGCAAAACTACTTTTTGCCGCCTTTTTTATAAGCTCTGTCTACAACTCTTACCACAGAATTCTTCTGTCAATAAGGGAAACAGTGCCATCCCATGACCTAGAATTCCTACATCTGGCCTTGCTCAGTGGTTGAGTCAGGATTTTCAAAAGTGGCTTTTTATTCTGAAGATGTAAAATTCTAGGCGTCCAGTCTTAAAGAGCATAAGGAGTCCGGAGTTTTTAGACCTCAGCATTTTCTGAAAACCATGCACTATTACAGACATAAGTTGGGACCCAAAAATGGAAGCACTTCAAATCATAAATTACTTTTGCAAGCATTGCCTTTAAACTCTGAATATTACTGAGGAAGAGTTCCTTATAAATGAAGCTGTTCACAGTTTATCTCTGAAAAAATCAAAACCTCCTGAGACTCAAAGTTTGCATAGTGGCAAAAATCAAATTGAGAATTCATTCCCAGTAGAGAGCTGTTATGTCATTACAAGCGGTTTCCACCACCACCTTTTCTTTCTGAGAAAGCAAGATTGTACTGCAAGTTAAAAACAACAGCAAAAGAAAAATCTGCCTTGTTAAAATCTGGCCAGTCAGTATTAACATTCCACCCCTGAATGTATCACAGATTTGTATTTTTGAAGAGTATAATGGTAATTTGGATAAATATGGAGCAGTTGATAGATTGAAGGTCTTATGTGCAATTGTTTTCCAATTTATTTCTCTCCTAAACCTCTACAAGGGCCAACCAAGCTCTTCAAACATTGTGCAATGGTGTGTATAATAACCTCATTTAGAGACAAAGCGTGCAATTCTATTATAAGGAGAATCTATTTTATGCAACAGAGACTCGTTAGCTGCCCAATGTATATTGCCTCCATAATCCAACAGAGGCAAAACCAGCTGTCTTATAATGCATATACTGTCCTTCCTTGCTAAGTGCTGTCCATCTCTTTTACATCTAGTCAATTAATTTGTCACTGAGTTAGAAGCACCATATGTCAGCAAAATGTTAAAAGAAAAACCTGGATACTTCTTTCCTCATCAGCAGAAGTTTATATTCACAGGTTGGCATTTCTATAATTTCTGACATTTTACCCCAGGATGAAAAAAAAAAAAAAAAAAAAAAAAAAATCAATTAATTTCTATTAATTTTAAAACAGCAACCACCAGAGTAAATCTAAGTCAGTCACAAGGTACATGTGATACTACCACCAAAAATGCATCGCTTAGAGCAGGTATGTTTATCTCTATACATAAGAACTCAGGAATACCCAGGAAAAAAAAAAATCAGCACAAATTAATAAAGAAAAATGTTGGCTTCTACAATACTCAAGCTATATTCAAATGACAGACAAGCTGCACAATGTGTATGACATGAAGATATAAATATAAATAGCCAGCTATCAGATACAACATAGAACACAGAAAGACCTGCAGGGTTGTCTGATGTGAGAGTTGTATTCAAAGTAGCTTTCAGTTGTAGTGCATAAACTAATATCCCCAGAAGATGGATCTATATAGCTTTTTTGTTTTGGAAACAAGTAAAATGCATGTGCATTCCTTAAAATGTCTGAGAACCCAATGGGTCCAAATGGAGAAAAGGTATCCTGACACTGACGAGAAAATCATGTCAAAAACGATGACCAGTGGTGTAGCAGTAATTCAAAACCAGGAGGGTAAACTGATCTTTTTGGTGCCTATTAGAAGTCAGTTAACACTGTTTCGTCTAAAGTAGAAGTCAGTAAACATTTATTTCTGTTGGTGGCTGCACAGGTGATGTTGGAGAAAAAGCTACCTGAAAGCCTACACCCATTGGGCAGGAATAAGTCAATCCATTACAGCATGTGTAAAATGGATTTCTTTGGCTTGTCCCAAACTCCCTCCCCACACACTGCCCTCTGTCCTCATGCTGCATTGCAATCACAACATACATCTTGCCAGAGTTATGTGTTCTTGAGAGGAAAAGAACATAAAGTCACAAACACGCTGTGAGTCACTATTCTTCTTGAGGAGGTGAAGGAAGATTCATCAGACCTCTCTGTAGCTGTTAAGCCTTCACCAGTAAGAGTAATGTACATGTCTTCAGATCAGGTCTAGGCCAGTACCAAAGCTTTTTATGTCATCCTTCCCATGGCAAAATTCCCATGGAATTCAGCAGGTGTTTGACTGTAGAACTGAGACCATAATGTCAACCAGCTTCACTGGTTTATGACATAAGCTAAGCCAAGCCGATGGTGGGGAGATGAGGGCACATTCATTTTGTGTATGTAGGGCACACTGGGAGATTCAGATTGAGGGTTACAGTCAAATTTCAGGCATTCCAAGGAGAATTTCAGCACCTCAGTGAATACCTGCTGTAAAAATTGTATAAATAAAACTCCACATTATTTTTAGAACAGCCCTTCATGTCTTAGATTTGTTTTCCAAGGGAGCTCCTAGGATCCCACTGATCTGCCTTTAGACTCAACCATGACAATAAGTTTCTGCATCCCTAAGTCTCTCACCCATTAATTTGGAGGTGGGTGGCGGGGAGGTGAGTGGTGCTTTCCCCTAAATTTAACTAGCTGTTGTCAGCCAGAATCAGGAGTTATCCTGGCCTGCTTGTTCCACAGTGAATTGAGAAAAAAAAATATTTTTTCTTCTGCAGAGAATTTGATGAAGTTTGACAAATTTCACCTGATTCTTCAGGACCCAGTGGTCACCAGTTGGCTCGGTCTACAGAAAGAAGAATCACTTTTGCCAGCACAATGCTGTTTCAAAATAAGCTATTTCTGCTGACCAGCACAGCCCAATTTGCTTGTTTTTCCCTGCCAGAAGGACCATTGGCATCATCAGACACATTCCCAAAGTGACACCAAGGCATTTCACAGCTTTGACAAGGAGTGGGAGTCAGTCACCAATGGTGGGATAGACCAATGTACCTGGTATTAGCTCCAAAGATGTGACTCCATTTCATGTCATCTTCTCCCTCACCATGACACCAGGAAACTCTTGAAATGACCCATCTTGTTAGTTAGCCCAGGATATCATTCTGAGTCAGAGACAATGGATGACAGTACATTTAATGAAGATGTATTCACAGCAGAAATAGGCCATGAAGTCTCAGCTTCCTCATTTTTATCAGCTTGTCTTTCCAAGCAGATAATTCAACAAATTTATCTGGCATAGCAGCACACCAACAGCCTTCTCCACCAGACTGACAAAAATCCTATTGTGCACCAAAATCTATCACAGAAATTGTTAAAAAACCCACACACAAATCCCAAAGTCTTTGACTCAGAGTAAATTTCATTTATGTTAGCTTCTGTCTCCAGCAACTGACTTCAAGAAAAAAACCAACAAGTTAAAAATCTGGAGCAAAAGTGTACGATGTAGCATATGGTGGCAAATCCCAAAATATTTAACCTAGCTAAAAATCCTTATTTTAATTAGTAAGGTGAAGAAAGCAACGCAATAACTCTGTAAGCACACAACAGTTCCTCATGGCTTTGGTGAGGAAAACAAGTCAGCCAACATGTCACAGGGGGGTTTCTTGTTTATTGGCATTATAACCAAAATGTCAGCTATGCTGAATTCCAGAGCCATTTTGTTTATGATGCCATGCAGCAGCAGAACAGCCTTAAGGGGTAGTGATCCCTTTTCAGAAGTGTTAAACAGGACACTGAAATCTGGATTAAATACATACATAGACATACACATCTAGTCATAGTCATTTTACCTGTATAAACTGTCCATTTATTCATGTGTATGTGTATGACTAACACAGTAGCTGTTGGCTCAGGATATCTATGACTAAAAGTTTTATGAGGTGTAGAAAAAATTAGCATATGGTAACCTTCACAAATTTTATAACAATAGAAGAAAGTTGCCTCCAGCACTGTGAGAAATTTGCAGTATAAACTTTTCCAATAAACACTTTTCAAAAGCTCCTGCTCTTTCTTGTATATTCCACATCCATCAGCAAACACCTT